AAGCAGCCTTGGGAAAGATTTGGGAAGGGCAGGCCAAGAACCAGACAACTCTGTTGCATTGCTGCTCATTTGCACATTTAATATAATAAAAACTTACCAAGACTATGGATTCTGCCCCAAAATATCCCAACAGTGAGTTAGCTAAAGATACTCAAATTACTATGCTGGAAGTCATTATATTGACAATTGAAAGCATTGGTTTTTGTACAGTTTGCGGTAGCTAGAAAAAAAACTGGTGTACTTGGCTGTGCCAGGAGGTGGCAGTAAGACTAAAGTGAACAGAATTTATCTGTCACTTCCATTTATCACCTTCACCTTTGCCTGAAACACAATGATAGCTTTTCTGCAACAGGTAACGATAAGGGTACTCACGTTAATGCCAAAGTCTGGCGATGTTGAACTCCAGATAGCACCAATACTTGCAGCAGCCAGCATTGCTTCCACCGCGTGAATGCTGTTTGGTAAGTAACCTATGGCAGAATTTGCATGGTTAGAGATGAATTTGCATGGGAAGAGAACTAAAAAAAATACCAAATCTTACGATAAATATAAGGTATACAATAGCCAGTTGAAACAGATAAAAAAATTAAAAATCCTAGACTGAAACATCCTTTAAACTTTTCCACACAATCATAATGTCCTCCTCTGAAGTCAACTCAGCTAGACAAGGAATTAGAAATAATTCCATATATTAAAATAATTGTATCATTTTTTATATCTACAAGGTTACTCCCAACATACAAATATTTCTGCTTAATTGATGAGACTTTCAGGATAAGAAGACAGCACTCTGAAAAGAACTAGGAAAGAGTAAATCTGTGGATTGAATAGGGTACATAGAGACTAGGAATACAGCACCATGCAGGGGAATAGAACAGATCTGTAGAAACAGCCATTAGAGAAGGAACAAGTATATGGAAGAAAAGATTATAAATATTCAGTTCAGAAGGAGAGATTCAGCTTTACAAGAGCTAAACATTGTGGTAGACACTGCCAGAATCTTAAACAAGTAAAACCAGTGTCTCAGCTGATAAGGGAATAATACAACGAGACAAGCGCTGGAACATTCCCCCACAAATGTAGCTCTTCAAGTTTATCTCATTAGCTTGCAGCAAGATTTTGAGATTTAAATTCAATTTACCAAGCCACACAGAAGAAATTAATGTCAAGAAAGTTAGATTTTCAGTGGGCTCGATTTGAGTAACTCTCCAGAAGGTGCTGGGTGGCTGAGATTAGAGTCCAATCCACAAATTAAAACATGCAACTGAAATTCACAAACTACACTAAAGTAGATCAAAGATCTGGAGTTTCAGAACATCCTTCTTAAGTAACCAAAAAGATGTCCAAGTCCTTAAAAAAAGGCACATGACAGTACTTGGACATCTAATTAGAATTCAGTGTTTGAAAGCAAACTTAAATGGCATTAAAAGAGCTTTCACAACCAGTTTATCAAATGTGGTGAGCAGTGACAGACCTTGGACCTCAAGTTGCAGGTGCTCCACCAGTATCTACCAGACAGCAAAAACTCACTAGTGCTAGGCACTTCTCAGAGAGAGGTATTTATGGATGTACTTTTCAGGACAGGAACTAAGATCACAGAGCTTAGCAGCAATTTGTGTTACATTAACTTTATCAAGTAGGAGCGTACTGAGCTTGATTTTTGCCAGTTTGTCTACACAGCTTGAAAAAAATCTATTATTTTTTCAGCTTTGTAAAAAGTAGACTTTAAAAGCAAGTCTTAATTTAAACTGAGATTTTTCTTCCCAATTCAAAAAACAGTGAAATCAATTTCTCAAACCAGCTTGGCCACTTAATCTGTAAGCTGCTGTGCTTCAGGGAGTAGCAACTTTGAAAATGGCATTATGACTGATGCCCAACAATTTCTGGGAAAAACCCTCAACTGTGAATAAAACCCTCATACCATGTTAAAATATAAATTACTCCCTAGAACTGCCTACCATTTGTGGTACATTGTTCAGTGAAGTTTTTAAGTACATAAAGTGCAGCAAAACCCATAAAGAGAGTCTTTATTTTGCTATTTTTCCTTCAGGGTCAAGGTTTATGATATAAGGTACAGTCTCCCAAAATTTTAGTCATTTTTCTTTTAAGAGAAGTCTTCCTGCCTGAACAATAACTTGAAGTTTGAAATATATGAACCAGGACAGACTAAAACGTCTTTTGTGTGATGGAAGCAGTTCTGTTTTAATTGATGTCAAATATTTTCACTGAGCATTTCTTGGATGGGACTACCAGGGGGACAGAGTGCAATGAAAACTAAAAGACATCTCTTCATGCTTTGGAGCCATTATCACCATGCCACAGCTTACAAGTACCAGTTCTATTATAAGCAAGTTCTCCTTTTCACCACTCCTACAGAAGCCCTCAAGGCAAGAACACAAGTCTCTGCTTACTATTGTGAGCCAGACAATTAAATCATTACTTTCATTTGCCAGCTGGCTTTGAGGTGGTGGCTGAGTTTTAGAAGGCATCAGCCAGAAGTGCCAAAAGGTATGAAACGTGCAAGGCAACTTACTCTGCATTTCTGTATCTTTACCCGATCACTGCAGGCAGCCAGGTCTGCTTGCTCACTGAGATTTTCACATACTTGTCCTAATCCCCAATACCAGGTATCATGAATAAAACCGCGGTTCTATTCTGGAAAGAGGTCCTCCAAACACAGAACTCATGTTGCTTTTCTCTCGACTGCTCCCAACTCTAGATGACACAAACTACTTCTGTCAGTCTTTCAGATTAAAACTGGATTCTCAGAAATAAAAATTATTTCTCCCTTTCTCACATCAGAGATTCTGCAAATCAATTACAGGAACTGTCATGTATATAAAACTCTCTGCATTTGACTGTGCCTTTGAGGTACCAACTGACTCTTCAAACCATTCAGCAGGCTGACACAGGTCATAAGCACCTAAAACTTGGTAAACAGGAATGTTGCAGACAAAGAGGAAGAAAAATCCAACTTTTTTAGCTGGATTCACATCAGGGGTCACAGAGCCTATGTACAGAAGCTCTGTACTACAGAATAATAATGGTGCAGCTAATTGAAATATTCATCATATGTTTGTTCATATATATACTAGAGCCTCCACGTTCCTTGATACAGTATTTCAGCTAAGGATCAAAACTAGCATTTGCCAACATGGGTAAAGTCTGCAGAAGGTACTTCTCTGTATCTTAACTTACCTCTTTCTTGAAGCTTGTAAGAAAGGTGGAAACTACATTCTGTTACTAGAAAGAGGAGGATCTTCATACCCTCTTTGCGTGAACTATAAAGCAACTGAAGAGAGGGCTCAAAACACAGGAGATGGGAACCCAGCAACTAGGAACACAGGGTGTGTCATACCAATAGTCCTAGCAGCGCTCCTCCTGGCTCATAAGTGTGTATAAAATCTCCATAAAGACAAAGAAATAAAAGCTTTACTTTGACATAAAACCCATGACAAATTTCTAAGCAGGACAAGCAGTATCTTAAAAACACTGTATGGATAATTTTTTTTTTTTTTTAAGAGTCATTTACAACCTGATGTGCTCAGGACAGCATTTTCTGTCAGTTGCTATTTACTTAATCTAGCATACTCTGAGATTAAATTTAGATTTGTTCATTTACACTACAGTACTTTACCAACAAAATAGGTGAAAACTGTAGTCCAAAAATTTCTGGTACAATCATGCTGGAAAGTATGTCAAAAGTCTCATTTCTCAGAGTGCTGAGAACACATTCCCTGCAAGCATCTAATGCCTTCATAAAGTAGAATAAACATGTGCTCAGAAACAGAGGCATCCAAACATTCGTAAAAATACCAAACTTGTATCCTGCATCAAATATTTAGTTTGAGCCTTGCAAGAATACATCAGGAGGGAGGAAAGCAGGGAGCTGCAACTGAAATATCCTCTCAACAGCTAATACTATTGATCTACACCAGCTCTCAAACAGAAGAGACCAAAGACCAGATTTCCAGTTTCTCTTTTTGATGTTAATATAGCATTTCATATTCCTGTAGGACTTCAAAGTGGTCATCCAACCTAACATTACTGTGGCCTGAGACTATTAGTAACATGCTAATCTTCTTACAAAGCTAGCTTTAAAACCCACGTAAGCAACTAGGGCTAATACAGTTACTATAGATAAAATACCAGCTTTAAACAATGTAATTCACTGATGTTTTGTTGAGCATTTTTTTGTGTGAACACATGGAGAAGATTAGTTTGTTTTTAACTGCTGACTTGTAATAGAACAATGCTGGCTACAGGGATATAATAGAAGCAACCTATCCGGAGATGAAAAACACAGATACTCCCTGTTTTATTTTACTCCTGCTGCAATCATTGTTATTTGCCAAACAGATGGCCAGTGGGAGACCAGGAGTACTTCACATGTGGATCTGTGTAGCTTGCACTAGGCATTTTATCTGTTTCTTCCAACTGTTCAAGCATCATTGACAGTATTGCAAGACATCTTTAGAAGCAGAAAGATGTTTCACCACACATCTGCTTCAATTATGTTTACTATTAAGCACTATCTCCTCAGTGATGGAAAGGGAAGACTAGGATGAAATCAAACTAAAAAGTGCTGACATCGCTCCTTGTCCGCCCACGTTCACCCACCTCCAACTTTAACATACTATTACTGTCATGATGCAACCATAAATTGTATTGAACAAACTAGGGGATATGTGAAGTATAATGAAAAGTTAAAGTAGTCTTGTCTTAGAGGCAGTAAAGCATGAAATTCACAAAAAGAAAACATTAATGGTCTTGTGTATAATTCTAACAGCTCCAGATTTTCAGTTATTTTAAGAGAAAGTAGCAACAAAGGGCATCAGAACCTGGCAGGCTGACTAGGTGTTAGGCAACTATAATAAAATTAATAAATTATCTCTCTTCTATTTAAAAGCTGATTTTTCAGAAGCAGTAAAAGCATGCCCTGTATTACTGCTATAAACTACATGAAGAATCACCCTTACTTCTGCCATCTGCTATAAGTTTTGGAACAAATTAGGCCCCAGTAGATTTTGCCAAGCTTTGAAAAGCCTGATCTTTGATACCACAAGTGGGTGTATGACTCAAACTTTCCCACCCAACACTTAGCATCTCTCCTCCATTTCAGTTTGGGATTTGGAGAAAAGTCTGCAGCTTCAACCTCTGACTGTGATGTTACGGTTTAGCTCTTCCAAGGACTGCCAATATCCTCTGGCACAGGAGAGAAACATATGAAAGAAGTTGAGACCAAATCTAAAATAAATATATATATATTTCTCTAAATAGCTGGATTGCTGTTAAAAATCTCATCGGATTTCTTTCACAGGGAAGCTCTCCCTAGATATGGGCCGCTGCCCAAGGCAAAGCAATCTGTCAGTCAGGAGTCTAGGAGTGGGAAGGAGGGGAAACTGCGCAACAGCTCAACTGATGGCAGCTGATACAGGTTCATCTGACTGAAGATTGCAAGGAAAAGAGTCTCTCACCCACCAGGGTAAGACAGCAGAGTGGAAAAAAGCAGAATGTGAGAAATTGCCCAGAAGAAAAAAAGCACGTGAAGACTCTCAATAATTTAAAAAGCTCTACCTGGGTCCAAAAACATACTGTGATTTTAATGAAGCAAAGAGGGTGCTTTCTTCATTCATTAATCTTTTCTGTTACCAAAAGCAAAGGGCTTTGTAAGGACTCCAAGCACAATGCAAGCCTGCTTCCACAAATAAGCTATAACTGCTCGTAAAGACGTGCTTAAGCTATTGAAATGCTCAAGGGACCCAGTACAGAGACGTGGTACCTACAGCAGCTAGGCAGAAAGGTCTCTGCTGTGGAAGTGCCAGACAGGAAACTTTTGCTCAGGAAATGCACAAAAAGGCCAAGGGAAAAAACAGAGCTGCAGCTGACAAGAACCATGATTTAAGGAGCTGGGATCCAAATAGTGTTTTTCATTGTATTTTCCATGTATTTGTTTCCTTGTTTGTTTTTGTTTTGGGCTGGTTTTGTTTGGGTTTGTTTGTTTGTTTTTTTAAATAACAGTAACACCACCAGAGACTGCAATTTCTGCCTCCTCTTGAAATCACTAAAAATCCTTCCAGGCTTCCTATTGGATTCAACTTGTACATTTTCTCTCCCAAGAACAGGACAAAGTGCACGGTTAAAATCCTACCCCTTTCTGTGGAAGGAAGCCCTGACATTAAGGATGAATTTTCAACAGAAACTTGGAATTGCAACCTTCTGCAAGCATGTAAAAAAACCTGTATGAATAAAAATAAGCAGTGTCTAAAGCATACTGTTTTATTCATACAATCTTAAAGTATCAACTATGCTTTTTAACTTAAAAAAGTCAAGAGGTAATCCAGCTGCCAAAACAACAAACCAGGTTCAATAATCAGCCAGCCTCCAGTTGTGCTAAGCAAAATACAGTCATTAACTAAAAGGAACTGTTATTAAAATTTTAATAGCAGCATTATTAGCTTAATCATTAGCACACTAATGACAGCTATATTTCAATAGCACATCTTCTCTAGCTACAGAGCACACTTCCCCTGCACGGTATACCTTACCAAGAACTGCTCACAAGATGAATACAAAATGGCACCATCATATGTTGTCTTCCCAACTTTCTAACTGGTTTTGATTAGAAGAGTTCTAGCAGTGATAAGCACGTTACAAACAAGACTTTAATTCACACCTTAGAACACAACACAATCTCACATAGATAAAACTCTTTAATCTTAATTCAGAATGAATGTTGCCATTAAACGTGACTGCTCCTGGTCATACTTAAGCATTAGTATTACATCTGTTACCCTAGTGAGGAGTATTTTCTTCCCAGAGACAAAAACCCTCTCATTTAGCAGACACCATTATGTAAAGTCTGCTTCTTAGACTTTAACCTGAGAATTAAGACAGCAGCAAAGGACAGCAGGTTTCTACTTGCAGACACGCACCAAAGCTACAGCTGTTTCTACTCAAGTTTGCAGCTACCATCGGTCCCCACTGTGACATGTTCACACAGAGTTTTCATTCACACAGAACACAAACATATGCAGTAGTTACTCTTCTGCACTGTCCATCACCTTCCCACAACACATTTCATCATATTATGGGATCTGAGACTGGTATGGGGTGCCCTTTTGCTACTTACGCATGAGATTTAATCCTTCGGTTTAGCATAACCAGCGATACACATGAAAGAACTGTTTTGAGCCCTGCTATGACTTTTTTGCTTACTTATAAAACAATAAGGAATAGTGCACTAAATCCCCACAGGGAGTCTACAAAACACAGCATATGAATTTGTTTTGTACACATCAGGAGAAATTTCATTGCAAAAGTCAAAGAAGAGTGCATTCTGTGTGCTTCACGATGCCAAAGAACATTTACAGAAAGTATTAAAAGGGGTCAACAAAAACCTGACTAGGACTTTGATTGGTTTCATGATGTCCAACTTTCCAGCTGCATGCATAATTATGTATTGTTTTGCCAATGTCTTTGGGGTAACCGTTTAAAACACACACAACCCACTTTTTCCATTTGATGTAAATTTCAGAGGACAGGTAGTAAAAAACACTACACTTAAGTTCTAAACACTCAAACTTTGTGGAGTGTAAGTTTTCCTATTCATTAGTTTGGTTTCAGATAGAGGTTGTTTCTCCTCAACAAGTTGTCAGATATGAACGTGCCAGTGTTAAGATGGAGACAAAATTAGCGTATCTTAACTTAGTCTTCATTGAGACAGACCTTCCCGACTTTGCTGGATGGTTCATACCCAATCAAGGATTTAGGTCTAATTCTATGTAAAAAAACCAAACCACCAGCTCTGATAATTAAATGTTCAGTTACCAGTTCCATATGCATGAAGTGTGAGCTCTCAAGTGTATTTTACATTTGCAGGTCATATTTGTGGGTTTAATAAAAACAATAATGCATGATCTGTTTTTGAAGACATGAGTTTGAGTTCTGGTTTATGACATGCAGAAAACAAGCCAAGTAGTTTCATCACTTCGGGTTTGCACCATATAAGAATTTACACATACTTAGGATAATGGCCAAGTATTGCTCAAAGAACATGTGATTCCAGTAGTAAGAGGGATAGGCACATCAGTGGAACTACCAGGTAGGAGCCAAGGACCTCCAAGGCTATTACAGTTTTGACTTGCACCACACTGAAAAAACTAAAGAGCATACATTGCAGAGCACATGAAGTATGCAGATGAAGCGGCTCAGCTGGAAGATCAAAACCAGCAATTTAGAAATAAATGGACTGAGGCCAGCAACTCCTTTCAATGCTTGGACTGTATACTGTACAAGCTGTTCACAAGACAAAAAACTTTATATAGAAAAATACACATGACAGTCTTAGGACAGGAAATATTACTCTAGAAATTTTTGTGAGTTACCAAAAGGATCACAGGGTTCTAACTACTAAGCTCTGCGCTGGTATGACTTGAAAAGTTACCACTCACCAGCTGTTCACTACCACCATTCTGGAAGTCATTACTCCCCAAAGCACTGGTGGCAGAAGATAGCACAAGTCCATTCCTCAAGAACCACAATTCACAGTGCACAGTATTATTTGGGGCCATAAGGTTAGTAATTGCCAGCTGGCACCAGAACAACCAACCTGGGACCATAATGTCCAAGACTACCCCCATGTGAATCTGCCTGACCTATGAGTCGAAGTTCAGCTAGATGCAAAGTCTCCATTGCTTCCGCTTCCACAGAATGCTTATGAAGCAGACCTTAATGAAGCTATGAATAAGGTATTTTCCTTACCCCTCCAGTGCTAGAGAACTTGCAGGCTAATCCAGGTTCCTTCCCTCTAGAAATTTATTTCATACAAACATAAATATAGCAGCACAAGAGCCTTTTCTTTAGAATGTTTCTGTGAAATTGTATTTCATACTCATGTTTCTATAACCTTGACTACTCACTTGCATGTTTCAAGAAATTTTCACCTCTTGTCATTTAAAAAAAAAAAGTTACTCACCCACAACTCTGTCTCCTACTTTCACTCCCATCTTCCTCATGGCTGCAGCATACAAAGCTACAGCTTGTCTCAGTTCTTCAAAAGTAACTTTCAGGATTTCTTCTTTGCCTTCCTCTGAGGAAAGATGATTAAAACAACCAGTCAAAAATTATGCATTGCAACATTGTAGAGTCTAGTACAAACAACTCATTTTGGAAGAAAAAATATGAAGGAATTTTAGGAGAAGAGTTTCTACTAATAATTATCCTTTTTGCTTGTCAAGTTCCTCGTATGCTGTATCAAGCTTTTCTTTTTAATGGCAATCAAGTATTAATCAGTAGTATTCATTCACCATGCACCAGGACATTTAAAGACAGGACCATACATCTGAGAAAAATGCAAACTATTCACTGGAGGAAGGTGTGTTCTCAAAGATCAGTCTGATAAATTGAGTGCACTCATCAAGGCTACCTTATAACACTGAAAGAACCACCTCATTTTCCCGTTTTGCTCAGCCTTCTGACTAGGTCTAGGAAGCAGCAGCAAGGTGCCAACTTCAGGTTTTATTACAGCAAGTCATCATTGACTAGAAAATCATGCACATATAGTTACTAAGGCCTGACTTTCAATATGCTTTTTAAACATCTGCGTTTGCCAACATACCACAAAGTAAATAAACTAAACCGGACTCCATTCATCTCTGAAAAAATCTGCAGGGTGTTTTCATTTTTGTACGGAATGTCAGGTGTTACATAAGCTGTTAATAAATCACTTGTGCAACAAAATGAACAAATCTACAAGTTATAAAAGGCAAAGTTTTTAATCTTAAAGGTCCCTTCCTGTACTTCTCCTCAGTGTGGCTCCTGCAAACCATTTGGCCTGTCCTGTTTCCAGTACCCAGCACTTCCCATGAAAACATACACCAAGGACATCGCAACAAGAATGTACTGCATGCCCTGGTACAGCTGGTCTTTGCAGAACAGCTACCATCAGTCTGATTTCCTTAAGCAGGGAACAGTATTTTTACTCTTGCCTTCTTAGACTTCCATCCCAGTAAATTTAGACCTACATGGAACAAAAGAGCAGGTTGTGACGGGAAAACAACACAGAAGGCAATGTAACATGTAGTTCATAAGCTGAGTGGGGACTGCTGACAGATTCTGTGTTCCCATAGCACAACAAAAAACGGGACTCTGATCTTGCTCCATGATTAAAGCCCCCAGAAGAAGGGAGTCATAAATAAGAGATTCACAATGGGAGCAAGTGACAAGTGAAATTGTTTAGGATAGTTACATTTACATTCCTGCGCTCTCTTCACCCACATTGCTCCCACAGAATCATCCCTAGTGAACACACAAATCTAACATAGGTTCTCTAAACATCACTCCGACCTAGCAGTGAGGGGTTAACAAAAAATACTCTGACTTAAGAGATCTTAAGAAGATTAAATACAGCAGAAGGTCATGAAAAGAGATGCAAGTGGAAGTCTGTTCACTGCAGAGAAGTAAATGTGTTCACTCCGGGACTGATACAGTAATCAACTGGAAAATACTTTTGCTCCTGTTGGTATCATCACCTGTGATTATGTGACTCAAAGCAGTGAGTCTCCAGTACACCCTATGACTTCCTAACAAGAAGCAAGATCTACAGGGACAGTGTGATCACATATCAAACCAAATAATTCACTAAGCTGACAATAATTCCTTCAATAATTTAAACTAAAAGTATTTAACTCCACTTTTTCCTCAAGTTGCATGTTTAGCTTTTAGCATTAACAAATCTACCACATCAATCAACACACATTTAAGAGTTGACTTACTAATCAGTGTTCGGCTTTCAGCTGTTGCACAAGATGTACTTCACTACATTGATTTTTTTTCCCCATTAAATAATACATAAGAAGCTTTTCTAATGATCTCAAAATTTGAAAGTGATGAGTTCATCACTTTGAAGCCAGCTTTCTGTTACAAGCCCCATTTCTATCAGGCTTCACCAGATCAATTCTTATTACACCAAAACCGGGTCACAGATTTTCCCATTCTCTCTGAACTGGTAGTTGATTTTATATATACATGATCAGAGAGGTTTACTTTCAAAACCTCTAAGCAGTAAAATGCAACTGGTAAGTATTTATTTTTCAGAATTAAGCTTACAGAAGATGATTCTGTTGTCTCACATTGTTTTTAAACAGCTATCAGAACAAGAGTAATACATATGTAATTCAAAAAACTGATCTCCATCTCAGAAATCAGAAACTAAGACTTTTAACACCTACACAGTCAATCCATAGTTCTGCATAATTTTCTCTTCTACTGAGCTGTAAGACTGCACTGTCTATTGCTAAGCTATTAAGAAGCATCACTGCTTGGTCAGTCTTACGATAAGGATTAGGTCCAGCAAAAGGGAAGCTCAGAACACAGCTCCCTAAGGAAGCACTCACGCACCTGCACAGAAGCTAATCCCATCTAACAGAGATGAGAATCAATTTTGAAAATTAACAAAGTCAGCAGATATAGGGAAGGACTTTATTGTCTTAACATGACCATCCTCATTATGAGTCTACCCAAATTTTATGAGACTCATACCTTCTCCAGTATAACAAAAAATAAAGACGGAGCTTTATTGTCTCAGGAAAGTAAAAATCCAAGTCTTCCATACATGTAACTGTCCTTTCTGTACTGTCAAAACCAGAGTTAATTCCTACCTACACCCCATGTTGTCCTTAGCACTGCTAAGATAAAAGGCACAGGAAGAGGGTGGGAAGGACAATAGCAAGCAACAGTGCCAAAATAATTCCTGAAGGCAAGCATCAGGCAAGTGTTCATGACAAATGTAGAATAATAGCTCAAATATTGAGTGATGCTAAACACACCATAGTCTCCACTACCTTAATGCACTTAAGCACATTTTAAGAAAACTTCATTTAGTTTGCCAAGGATTTTTCAGAACTATCTATATTCCCACAGCATGTTTTTTGCTGGTTTTTGTGGAGCTGTATCACAGATTCTGTTACTGACATTATTTTCCTCTTTTCTCCTCACCCAAGCCAGTTTATTTCAAGGTTTCATAAAAAGCAGAGCTGTTTTATAAGGGCTAGTCCTGTGAACTATAAATAAATACAAGCCATTCATTCTTTCTTACTTGCTGCATACAGTGCAATCTTGTCATTGTCCTTGTGCTTTAGAAGATTTTCTGCATAGTTCAGACGGCTACCTTTAAACCACTCCGGGACATCTGCAATACTTTTGGACATATCGACCACCTGAAAAAAAAAATATATACAATACACTCCTGGAAAACTGTAATATAATTTATTTTTCAGAGCACTGTACAGAGATCAGCTAATTAATTCCAAGCTCTTTATACACTCCATTAGGCAAGAACCATTTCTCCCAGCTTACAGATGGCAAACAGACACTAGATTCTGTAATTACAGGCCTGGAAAGATTAACTATTTGTCAACTGTCACAAGCAAAGACGTCATTGCAACAAAACTAAAAAGAGTTCTTTGTTGACAGTTCTACCTTCGGCCCAGCCTTAAAATACACCAGTGAAGCAAACCACTGGTGCACGCTAGCTACATCCAGACCACAAGATACACACAAACCACAGTGCACACTGGGGTTTTGCCTCTGGGAACGTCCCAAACAGGGACTGAGCTACAGCATATTGTAGCTCTCTACCAGGCCATACGCTCCAGCCTCTCTCTCAGAAAAATCAAAGCATAGGAAGGTGTGAGTACCCAGTCTTCCCCAGCATGAGTCATGAGGTACAGAGAACAACATCAGGAACTTCAACAATGGTAATTCAAATTAACCCTAGGCTAAATAACTGACTTGTATAGGCTGTAACTAAGAAGTTCAAGCTTTTTATTCCAGCTCTCCATTTTTTAAGAATTAAGTTGCAGTAAATATTTTAGTACTCCACAGCTTCATCCAGAGTGCAGAAATACTGCTGCTGACCTCTACAACTAACAAATATTGTATTACAAACTGTCAGGGTGCACATTTCTACCATCCTTGATTTGTTGTTTACCAAAAAGAGGGTCCAACAATCTAATAAGCCCACATTAATTCACCATTTAGGACTAAGACATACAAATAAATGAAAAATGCAGTGAAAAGTAGTCATAATTTTATGTTCAACTGAAACATCTTCCCCCATCTTGAACTAATTAATCTCAAAGTATGAAATAATGCCTTGCTAAGCCACAGTTAGGACTATACCTTTAATGTAAGTGACTGGTAAAGAACCCCTTAGTATTAGCCACAAAGGTCTGTAAATTCCTTCCAAAATGCCCCACTGTTCAGAGATTCAGCTGCCCAGCAGCACATGTATTTTGTAATCTTTACATTGAAACTTTATTTTGTAGTTGTGTTTTCAAAAGCTTCAGTTTATACCCTGAGGTTCTCTCTCATGGACTGCACATGCATTACAGAAACAGCATTCTTGCAGACCAAGTAAAAGGCTCTGCTGAAAGCCAGATAGAACTCAAATACCTCCCATTCCAGAGAACCCAATATTTTTGTGCTTTGAGGTGTGCAGTGTATGTATTACTAGAGGCAATCCTAAAATTAATTCTTATAAGAGAAGTTAAAGCTCATGTGGAAACACTCTACTGTATTACTTTATTTCAAATGAATTTTCTAAAAAAATGGGAACTCAAGGAGATATCTTTCTTGTAACCATTAGCTAGAACTGAGTTTTAGCATTTACAGTTTATCAACTTAGGGTGCAGAAATATTTTTTATACCAATATATATTACTGCAGTAATTAAAAGCCACTCTTAGTACTGACTCATTACCAACTTCCTTAGCTTGAAGAAAACTAAACAGAATATTTTCAGCATTTTCCTGGACAAGATCTAATATAATCCTATTTTTTTCCCCTGAAGTGGAACACCCCTTTGAAGAGCTTCACTAGCATAAGGTGCTGGACTCACTACTTGATGTTTCATTATTTTCTACTTGGGTAATGCCTATGACTCCTAGTTAAGCCAGATCTCTTTGGTAGTGGTACTTAGTTATACAAACAACCTGATCTCTCCCTTAGAGGAAAGTTCTCAGCAAGCAACAGAAACTCAGTGTCTGCTAATTTAGTGAAAGATCCCAGCTAGATCCAGTTCCAGCAAGTCTATAAAAAAGCAGAGCTTTGCAACAAGCCTTTTACTTCATACAGTCCCAACAAATGCTCAGCAAGTCCACAAGAAAGGGAAAGACGTGCAGTCCACAGTACTGCTGACAGCAGTCCTCATTAAATGAGTAAGGCTTCACTCCTCCTCAGAGCAGAGGCATACAAGGCCAATTTGTGTGGTGAGGTGAACATGCCAAGTATCAGCTGTACTCCCATGCCACCAGCTCCTGTTCTACAATTGCTCTTCACAGCAGCTCACCAGTGACCACTTCCCAAGCCTCAGTGGCTACGAATAAGCATCACATTAGCAATATCCTCCATCCACACCTCTAATGCATTTCCCTTCCTTGAAGTGGTTCGCTAGTTGTGCTCTAACCATGCATTAGCATGCCCCAGAGATTCTACTTACCCTAAGCAGAGACTATACCTTTGAGAATGAATCTCACTGTAACTGAGACAGATGATCCTTGCCTTACTGTGGTACATGTGGTGTTCTGTATGATCTGAAGAGCAAAATAGCATGCCTCATGAAAAGCTAGAGAGCAGATGCTATCAGAATGCTCAAAGCAGTCCCTCCACAGGAACAGCTCTCAGATGCTTCTTGTGGCAAAAAGTAGTAAGTTCAGACTACATTCCTCACTTAAAATCAACAGCTACTTGTAACTTGACATAATACCAGTGCTGCCATGCCAGCATAGCTTTGTACATGGCAAGCGCCTTTGTTCTTTTCAGAAGCAACATGGATATCAATTGCTAGAGTGACATGAACATGTCTACAGTGAACACTTAAAACCTTTACTAAGTTTAAATAAAACACTGGCCACCTTATAATATGTAAAATTTTTATTGTTATTCTTAGAATGACCTGTGAAAGTAGAAACTGTTTCACTGGCTAGGAACAAAGCCAGTGCCCACTTTGGTTCATGAAAAGTTTTATTTTCCTCAAAGCACAACAGTTCCTTCCAACAAGCAGCAGGGATCAGGTTGTAACACAATTCAAACTTTTCAGCTCTTTAGCTACTGCAGAACAGCACAGGTACTTTGACCAGCTTTTCCTCCTAACAGGCAACAGAAATGGGCCAATGGTAAGGGCTAACAGCAAGTTAGCTTCAAGGCTCAATAAAGCTGAAGTCAAGCCTTGAAGCTAACATTATGCTGACACTGAGGCAAACACCAAGGTCCACAAAGAGCAAGTCAAGTATCTTCCGCAGTACTTGTCTATCAGCTGACTCTGCCTCTCCTGTTTCAAGATCCCACATCACAGCAAGACCCTTGTAGAATAAACAGGCATGCAGGAGCCTAGAAGCTCACAAGTAGTCTAGTTAAAGCCTTCCTAGACATCCCCATCTTGCTTCTCATCCTCATGAAACATCAATTTCTAGGCCACCATTGCCTGCTTCAGTCTCCCTTCCAGTTCACCAGCCATTGGTGGTATCTGGAGCAACAGACTTCCAGGAGTGCTAGACCTGTAAGGCAAGAGAACAAGTGTTACTGTCCAGCTTCCTCAGTACAGATACAAGGATGCAAAATAGCTCCTCTGAACTACTTGCTCAGGACAATTTGTACTGATGTGGGAATTTAGAAAGATAGCCTTGCTAACAGCAGAGAGTATGTAGAGAAAGTACAGTATCCTAATACAACCTGGCTAGATTTTGAACTATCTATAGAAAAAATAAAGATTAAACATTTACAATCTTCAGACTACATACTTGAAAAAGCAGGCTAGTTCTTAACATTCTTCTGAATTTACTCTTCTAAAGGGTGGGTCACATTAAGACACCTGAGCATGCAGTTTCATGGCAGGAGGAACCACTTGATCTATCACAGCATGCAGTACAGAAATTTGTAAGACAGGAAAAGGCAAAAGAAACTTACCAGTTCCCTCTGCAGAGCTGCCAGTACTCTGAGTGTTCCTGGAACAGATGGCCTCCAGGGATTAAGATAAAGTCCAGTGCTCTCCAAGTCCCAGGAAGGTTCTTCTCTATCAAGCTTTTGAAGTAATTAGTCCATCTTCCTCAGATGGAAAACCACAGGGTGATGTTGATATCCTACACCAGGACTGTACAAGGGCTCCAGCTTTGTCCTCCACTTGCAAGAGCTTCAAAGTCACCTTTATCCCAAAGCAACACTGTGGCACAGTCTGGTATTCCACCTGTGGTTGCATTCAACCACTGCCATTCCCTCAGAGATATTTCAAGCCTACATCTGATTGCAGAGACTTCCATAACTAGTTCTACAGAACTGGAGTGCAACAGGTGTGTTTATTAGGTAAGCTGACTCAGGGAACATAAACATGAATTTGACTGCATGCCAGCATTTACAAAATCATGATGATCTTCTACCAGCATGATCCTGAAATGGATCAGTACAGTATATCTGTAGACTCCTCACATGCAGCCAGGACTGCCAAGGTATGTGAGAGCACATGACAACAGGGGCACTACAGCAGAACGGTTTAGGACAATAGAACGTGAGGATTTCGTTGTGCTAAAGCATATCAGCAACAGAACACCACCATCCACCACACAAGGAAACTCAGGACTATACACCTGAGGGATTCTTCATATCACTTGCAAAGGTTCTAGGAACAGGTCAAAAGATTTATTGTAAAACTGGTTTATCTTCCCTTTGACTGTTTAAGATAAATATGGACTTACCTCGTCATACATGCGAGAACATACGATGTTACTGTACTTCCAAAATTCTGCCCAGAAGTCCGAGTAGGATTCCACTGACCACTGGTATAAGTCATCGTAGTTGGCTAGAAGTAATAGACACCTGTTAGCATTATGCAGAGGATTATAGGAATTTAGGTAAACTACAATTATGGATTTCCCAGATACAGAAAATTTGTGGGCAAAACCACCAGCAAGATAAAACTGATCAGAGTAGATCACTTCTCTGTTCAAGGGAAGCGACTATGGCATCAACAGGAACAGTCTACTTGAACATACAGCATCATTTCACCTGACTGTTACAAGCCATTTGCCACCACAGAGATATGGACCTTTCCCAGTAACTCTGTGCAACATCTACCCCCCACCCTCATTGGTGAAAACAAAGATTAGACAGCAGGACAGAGTTCCACTTGCTGACACTTGCACTAAAACTGGTTTATCTTCCCTTTGACTGTTTAAGATAAATATGGACTTACCTCGTCATACATGCGAGAACATACGATGTTACTGTACTTCCAAAATTCTGCCCAGAAGTCCGAGTAGGATTCCACTGACCACTGGTATAAGTCATCGTAGTTGGCTAGAAGTAATAGACACCTGTTAGCATTATGCAGAGGATTATAGGAATTTAGGTAAACTACAATTATGGATTTCCCAGATACAGAAAATTTGTGGGCAAAACCACCAGCAAGATAAAACTGATCATAGTAGATCACTTCTCTGTTCAAGGGAAGCGACTATGGCATCAACAGGAACAGTCTACTTGAACATACAGCATCATTTCACCTGACTGTTACAAGCCATTTGCCACCACAGAGATATGGACCTTTCCCAGTAACTCTGTGCAACATCTACCCCCCACCCTCATTGGTGAAAACAAAGATTAGACAGCAGGACAGAGTTCCACTTGCTGACACTTGCACTCCCTATCATATCAACTCAATGCTTTAATACAGCAAAATATGAACAAGTCTTCCTGACAAGAGACATTTGCTGTATGGTTCTAGTCCAGGACCAAAGACCTCTGCCAGCATGGTAACATGGAGATGAGATGCACTCACTATTCAACTGTAATACCAACAGCACTGTTACAAAGGAAACGTGTTATTCCTCAATAAATAAGGGGTCTAACAGATCACAGCTTACCTTTCCATGCTAAAAGAGCATGAATGAAGTTAAACAAGATGTTTACTAGCTGAATATTATAACCATGACCTGGCATTAAACATGGAAATGAGCAGTTTTAAGTCTTACATGACTGAGACAGATGAAGTAACATGAGGAATGCATAGCAAAAACCTCACAATTTAAACTAAATACTGAAATTCAGTGTGTAAAACAGTTTTAGGTATGAATAACTGAAGCTGATTTCTCATCACCAGCTTAAAAGTGACATTCCCAAGTCATGTCCATGCTGTCTGAAGCTGTGCCAACAGCCAAATTAAACATGAATATCTGCCATCAGTGACAGTAGTAACAGTTTCCTGCTCTGCCAACCACATTTCCTATTTGATGCTTTCACCTAAACACTTGAAGTCATTTTCTCCTATTAGCTTTGGTTTGTCATCCTGTTATCCAGCTGAGCACTTGTGAAGTCATCTTTGCATCTTCTTCCTTCAAGGACAACCCCTTCCAGCTTTATAACTAAAGAAACATTCAAAACCATCTCTACACTGTTACTCACACTTGATCACCACAGCTGTTTCTCTACCCAGTCTGTGCCTTCCACATCTTATTCCACTCAATCTTTTCCATTGATGCGAATGAGATTACTCTCTAGGTATTACTGACACAGAAGATGCAGGGGCAGAAGCTCTTTGTAACTAAGCTTTTGCCTACCTATTGCCTCATTCTCAGCCTCCTGCATAGCCTTTTTTACACTTCACCCAAATTACTCTTCGCTGTTTTGCAGGGTGCACATCAGCCAGTGTGGGGATAAGACTTTACCAAAGGAAAGTTCAAGCTTCCATCTCCTCCCTCAAAAACCAGTTGCAGCACATGCTCCAAATCATTTGATAAATGCGAAAAGCTACAAGTCACCATTAATTTGATTTCTTATAATATAAACAGTTTATTTTGTCTTGTCTATATAGTTTGTCCCCAGATGAGCTTTAGCATGCAAGTCCTTCAGGGCACAGATCCATTAGTCAGCAATTAAAGGTTGCATCTCATTACTATATTTCCAAGGTTGGACAGAGCCATGCTGTTTAAAGGGCTATATTGCCCTTAGCTCTCCTCAGCCCACATCTTGATGTTACATAAAGAATCCATTCTCAGTTGTTGAATAGCACACAGACCAATGAACATCAGTTTCAAATCTAATGGAAGTTGACAACAGTTTCCACATATGCACAGGAATCCACTTTTAGCTGGAGATAGCGCTTCAAATTGGGGTGAAAAAAGTTCTAGTTGGTACAGCCATAAACATGGGCAGCCCATCTGAAGCTGCATTCAGTCTTGATCATATGAGTACCAGTTACATGACTTTTCTCCTCAGGAGCTAACTAAAAATCCTGTGGTAAATTGCTTCCTATGTAGGAGTTCGGCACTATACATCTGTGTTCAAAGGGGAAGCCCCCCCCAGCAGTCAAACTAATGACCTGGCTTGACCCACATATTAAGTTCCCAATCAAGATGCATGATTGTTTTCCAGACATGAACTGCTAAAAGTACCAGGTACATCACTACTACTCCAGAATGTCTCTGCTTATACTACAGACACATTTATGCTGGATTAAAGCTTGACAGGCCATTTGCAAAACTACTCCCTCCATCTTCCATCAGACAAACAACTACAGGAAAGCTACACAAGCAATCCAGTCCCCAAGTGCTCAGGGAGAAAGAACAGCATGACGCAAGCTAGTCAGAACTGGAGGGGTTTGACCCTCACACGCACTGAAGTCCACCTGGTTCATGATGTGAATGAGCCCACAGCAACCAGCACCACTGACCCCAAATACCCTGGAGAGACCACCTACAGATGGCAGTCATTGAAAAACCAGAGCAACCCGGGTTGAAAGACAGGAACAACCCAGGTTGAAAGACACACCTGGAGGGCCAAGCCCCTACTCAAAGGGGGGCTAAATGCAAAGTTGGCAGGTTGTTTCTAAGTTAAAGGTCTGCACACCTATGCACAGCCATAGAGGTATTTCTGAACGAGCATGAAGCGGAGCTGGAAGTTCAAGAGCTTGGGCAGATGCACAGCAAAAAAAACTTGGTTTCCATCACTGAACCAACTTATGCACCACCTTTCACCTCCCAGCATACTTAGAAATTACAGGCACACACCCCTTGCAAACAAAGATGAAGTTGCAACCATGGCCTTAACTCAAATTGCACATGCATACATTAAAGCACCATGTTAAGGCTTACATTAACCTCACAGCCATGACAGCAGCAACCCCACCTTCCCACACCCCCCTAAAACACTAAGTCATTTCAGTACTGCAGCTCTCCCCAAGGAAAACCCTGCAAGCAGGGCCTCGGCCATGCCCAGGAGCAGTCGGGGCACCCGGCAGGTACCAGTGCCGACGCCGCCCGGGGTGACTCCCAGAGCAGCACCAACAACAGACACGGCTGCTTGCGCTGCCCAGCAGCGTGCGCCTCCAGGCTAAGCGAGATGCTGCCTCGCGGGCCCCCGCATGAGGCACAAGCCGAGCGTCCCGCTCCCAGCCTGGGCCCCTCCCGCCC